ACACACACACTCAACATACACACACACACACACACACACACACACATATATATATATATACTCTTTATATTTGTATAATATATATATAAAAACATAATTTTTATGCACACACACATATAAACACATTTTTATGCACACACACATATATACACACACACACACACACACACACAGAGACATACACACACACACACATATATATATATATATATATATTCATACACACACTGCAAAACACACACACACACACACACACACACACACATACACGCACACACACACAAATATATATATATATATATATATATAATATATCGATGTATATATATATATATATACATACATAGATACATACATACATATATATATATATATATATATTGATATTCAGTTTTCCTAGATAGTTCATTCACGATGCACATACTTTTACAATAATTTCTACCCTTTTGGTCATGCACGCAACATTGCTTTTATCGATTCACACAAAACCCGTGAATATGTACGCACTTGATGTCACGAATATGTAAACAGATGGACCTTTCGGCAAGCGTCGGATGCTTTATGCAGATTACACCGCATCGGGTAAGTCCCTGGCTTTTATTGAAGACTATATCAGAGAAAACGTGCTTCCTATGTACGGAAATACACACACAACTGTATCGGCTACCGGACGTCAAAGTACATACTTTAGACAGGAAGCTCGTCAAATCATCAGAAATGGTGTCAATGCCAGTGAGAGGTATGTCTACGTAAAAATATAGGCTATTCAAGAATCTGATTGTACATGTCTGTGTATTTATGCACAATATGTACGAGATTGTGTGACAATTCGCATTTTGATTCATTTTTGAAGTTTATGCGTGCGTACATATATGTATTTACGTATGGATGCGTTCATACAACTATTCTTGTACGGTTGCGTATGTGCATGTATTTGTGTGTATGTGTTTGTGTGTATGCATGCATGCGAATACATCGAGCATTTTCCTCAGTGTAGGTGTATCTTATGTATCGGCTTATATCTACTTGCGCGCATGTTCACGAACTTGTGTCTACACACAAACTCACATGTTTAAATTGTATATTTGCAACGTGTTTGTGCTCAGAATCAAAGTGTGTATGCAGTAGCTCAAACATTATTGATTATTGAGTTTCGTCGCCTCCCTTATTGATCGCTTAAACACACGTTCATGCACACCACAGGCTACACATACTCATATCTTGCACACATCGCCTCACGCAACCACACCCGGGTTCTGCGCTAAACCGTTTTTTATTTGTGCATCCGCATGCACTTTTCTTGGGTTTCTTTAAAATACTGCTCTGCTGATACTCTGATAAGTGCCGACGTCCCGCCCTGCACTGGCAACAATCAGAACAAATAACAAGTTACCCTGTAGGGCTCAATTGCACCTTTTTTTTCTCGCACCGGTCTGTTCTCGTATCCGCTCGCTAGCGCTAACGATCCGGAACAATTTGAACCATTCTATGATGGGTCCTATTTCCTTCCTACGTCTTTTGGCACCGCGTTGTCCCCACATAGTTGCCTTTGGAAGGCCTGGTCTCCACATGTAGTTACCAACACCTGTATATTGCTATTACTAACACCTATATATTGCTACACCAACACACCGCAGAGACGCCGTGCTGTTCTCGGGTAACGGTGTCACCGGTGCGATCGCCCACCTCGCGCGTGCGCTATATTTAGAACAGTATATGGCTCATTCCAAGGGACCGGCTGTGGTCATTACTGGTAGGTGGTGTGGATGTTCTGGATCAAGTTATCGTCTAGCCGTATGTACCTATCGCCGAATATCTTTGACTCTAGTTGATTTATTCTGAGATCGACGGTGTCTATCTGATGATACAGTGCTATAGGTACTCATGGGGCATCCACGTGTTTGCGGATGTGTGTGTGCCGTGGCTGTATGGGCGTTTTTTATTCCTTGGATGCAAGTTGCTGTTGCATTAGTGCTATCTGGATACAGTGGGTTTGGGGACATGATACTTATAGACGGTATATCGATCTCGTTTAGCTTTCACTAGCATATAGTAGCAGCGGTGACTCGCGTGTTTTGTCTTTATCTGTATATTTATCAGCTTCGGTATGAGCGGCCAGCACCTCTATGTGCCATTTCTGCAATCTCGGTCAGTACGTACGCCCATAAAGGACACTATCCCATCCGGATATTTCACACATCTAACTCTAATAAATTTTAAATGTAACCATGACTCAACTTTCCAGGTCCGCAAGAACACCATTCCAACATGCTGGTGTGGCGGGAAAGCGGCGCTGATGTGGTACAAATCGGCGAGGACCAATTTGGAGCCATAGATGTTAAAGGTCTGGAGCAGCAGTTGAAGAACTACTCCGACAGGCCATTGGTGATTGGTTCATTTTCGGCGGCTTCTAACATTACTGGGATCCTGACGGACACCGACACTGTGACAGTTCTGCTACACAAATACAATGCACTTTCATTCTGGTAAGTTGGCTGAACATGTTGTGTATTGCTGAAGAATTGTGTACTTGGCGTCTATGTTCCACGGCTAGTATATGTTGAGAGCAACTGATATAAAATCTATAAAAACCGTGCTTATTTGGGGTTTTCGGGCTTTACGACAACGTCAGCATTTTACCAATTAGCAATCTCGAATTCTCACGCGCGATAGGTCTGTGAGTATCAGACCTGGTTTCTATTAATATCTCATCATGCGTATCAAAGTGATGCGGCACTTGCTGTATAGTATTGCTAGTAGGCTTATTGTTTGCGTGTTTCAAACTAACCAAGTTAATGTTGTAAACACTCGTAGCCTCAACGACTACCCCCTCCAGGGCCGTGCATGCTATATGATATGCACCTGGGAATACGTTGTCAATACATCAGCATAATTTAGGTGTATTTGGGTTCCACTTGAGTTGAGTTGGTATCCCGTCTGAATTATCTAGAGATATTCAGCAGGTTCTATCAATCTCTATTCCATACCCCTGTGGTCTGCCCTGCCCACCCCACCTAGTAGTGTACTACGACCGAACTCAAATTATTCATATTTCAGTCAAAGGTTAACGGAATCAATTCGCGTTCAACATCACACCACATGTAGGCACATCAATCATTATATCTATCAGTATTATGCTATTTCTATACTTTATTTTATATCTTGCTATTCACAGGGACTACGCCGCTGCCGGACCTTATAGTCATATCGATATGAATCCTGTTGGGCTACACGACAGTGGACTCGCTTACAAGGACGCGGTCTTTGTCTCTGTTCACAAGTTCATCGGCGGTGTGCAGACACCCGGTGTGCTCATTGCCAAGAAGGTATATATATATATATATATATATATATATATATATATATATATATATATATATATATATATATATATATATATATATATATATATATATATACTACTATATATATATATATATAT